TTGGCCCACGCCCGCCCTGCTGGGCCTCCTGTTCCCAGGACGACCTTCTGGATCTGGGTGTGACTGGCTCAGCGGGTGGAAGGGGTGTGACCCGGGCCAGCCGGAGGGATGGCAGAGCAGCAGCACAGTAACAGTGCGGACGACAGCCCATGGCAACCGCGGAGGTCTGTCCTGGGCCAGGCAGCCCTGAGACCCAGGGCGAATCTCTGCTCATTTCATCCGCTGGGCGACTTTGATGTCCTTGGCCCACTTCTCTCCTTGGCTGTTTATCTACCTCTTATTGATCGAAGCAGCTTGTATAATCGTCCTTCGTGCCGACGCCCGGAGCCTCCCGTCAATGTTAATGGCCACAGGACTGCAGTGTCCCCCCGCCGAGGTTCCTTTGCCTGTGCATGGCGTCGTCTCGCTCACAGAAGCTCCTGGTTCACCAGCCACGCTTCTCCGCCTTCCCGTTCGGCTTACGGTTTCTGTACAGTGTTAAAGAAAGTCTTCCCAACCCGAAGGCCAGAAAAACATTCTCCGACTTCTCCCCGGCACGGCACACGCTTGGTTTTCACGGTTAGGTCGGCAACCATCCCACACCGCGGCCGAGGCCGAGGGACAGAGACGTCACCCAGCCGGCGAGGCCGCCCACGGGGGCGCACGCACCCGTGCCCGTGGGAGCTCGCTGCCTCTCGTGACGTCCTGCCCCGCAGGTCCGTCCGCAGCGACCACCGAAGGCCGTTCTCACGCACTCCAACAGCTCACGCGGCGAACCTCTGTCCAAACAGAGGGGCTTGCTCCCGGACGCCGCGGAGCGCCGTGCACACCGCACCCACCTCCCCGCACCCACCTCCCGCACCCACCTCCCACACCCAGAAGTAGCCGGTCCGGCCACATCGCCTGGGAGGGCACCTGAGCTGCCGGGAACTCACCGAACCCCGGGAAGCTGCTCTCAGAGCCGGCGGGGTCGCACCCCCTTGGTCAGAGCTTCTGCTTCCCCGAATCCCACTCAGCCTTCGTCAGTGCACACCCCCTTTTCCCAGCTGAGCGGGTGAAGCGATTTCTCTTGGATCGTCTGAGGAACGGAGCACTTCGCAGGGCATGGTCCCTGGTTTCTTTGCGAATCCCGGTCCGATCCTCGGCCGCTTTCCCCCCTGCTGTTCATTAGTTCTTATTGATTTGGAGCGGCTCTTTCTATGATCTTTCTCCTTTCTAATCTAATTCTGAAATGTCTGCAGGTTTGTTTCTGAATCCATCTAGAATCTATTTTTGGACATGACATAAAATCGGATTTTACATTTCCCACAGGGGCAGCCATCCCAGCACTGTGGACGGACTGGTGCACCCAAAACCGTCCACACCCACGGGAACTACAGCTGCTGAGCAGCCGACCCTGGGGTGGGGGGCGTCCTGGGAGCCCTGGTGGGCACGTGGTGATCATAGCAGTCCCAACGGGGAAGGGGTCAGGAGGACCAGAGCCGGGAGAGGTTCGGAAATGCCAGCCGCTGCCCCTGGAGGCGGAGGGGGGGCCAGAGGGCGCAGGTGGGCTCCAGAGAAGGCAGCAGGCAAGGAGGCGGTTCCGCAGGCCTCCAGGAGCGCAGCCCCGCCCACGCCTGGACGGGGGCCAGAAGGCTTTGGACTCCCACCTCCGTGCCACGGTAAGTTCCTGCTGCTTGAAGCCACTGAGTTTACAGTGATCTGTGGTAACAGTAAGAGGAAACCACCCGGTCGCCTGGTGTGGCTCAGTGGTTGAGCATCAGCCCTGTACCAAGAGGTCGCCAGTTCAATTCCCAGTCAGGGCACATGGCCAGGTTGTGGGCCCGATCCCCAGTGGGGAGCATGCAGGAGGCGGCCAGTCAATGTTCTCTCTCATCAATGTTTCTATCTCTCTCTCCCTCTCTCTCTAAAATCAATGAAGAAGAAAAATGCTTTAATAAAATAAAACAAAAACACACACAACAAGCATTTAAAATAAAAAACAATAATAGAAAATCAACACACCCCTTCTCTGGCCCTTGTCATACATCACACTCTGTCCTGCTGTCTGTCTGTCTGGCACCGACGCCACACCTTCCGTAACTGTGTGGCCAGCCAGCACCCGAGCGACAGCCTCTCTCCTTCAGAAGGGCCTGGGCAACTCCCGACGACGCAGCCTTTCCATGTGCAACAGGCCTCGGCCTCCCTCGGAAGCAAACGCCGCACGAGGGAGACAGCCCGGGCGGAGGCCAGGCGGAAGCCCGGCGGGCCCAGGTCCTCGCGGCACGCAGCGCCGTCTTTCCCGACTGCAATGACAACGGCAAACCCAGAGATCTGGGCAGCTCGACGAGCCACACGCAAAAACGCGTCCGAGGGCAAAGCTGGGAAACGGAGCCAGCGGCAGGTGAGGGTGTAAATCGCCCCCAGTGCCCCCCCGAAGACAGGCCGGGCACCAGGAGAGCCAAGCCAGAGCCCAAAGGCACCCCAGCCGACCCAGGCCAGCAGGAGCAACGAGGGGCCATCCCGCCCGGGTTCACAATCAACGTGATCAGGTCTTCCCCTCGTGACCAGTGCCACAACCACATCATACCACAACCACACTCCCCTCCACAAAGGTTGTCCTCTTCTGGCCTTGGACATAGCTGTGCGGGCTCACCCTGCAAGGAGCGGCCGCCCAGGCGCCCCACAGACGCGGGGAAGCCCGTGCATCACCTTCTACTGTCCTCTTCAATGACAGCCAGAAACCAGAGGAATCAGACTTATTTTTAATCACAAAACACACCTATTTTCATAATCTGGAACACCATCCTCTCTCACATTATGTGTCTTAGAGGTTGATGCTTTTTTTTTTTAATTTTATCCTCACCCGAGGACATTTTTTTTATTTTTTTTTTTTTATTTTTTTTTTTTATTCAGATAGAGTGGGGAGGGAGAGAGAGAGAAAGAAACATCGATGTGAAAGGGACACATCGAGTGGTTGCCACCCGCACGACCCAACCAGGGCCGGGACAAACTGCAACCGAGGTACATGCCCTTAGCGGGAACCGAACCCGGGTCTCTCTGGACCGCAGGCTGACACTCTAACTGCTGAGCTAAATCAGCCAGGGCTGCTTTTTTTTTTTAAATGTGACTATGACCGTCAAAGAAGGAACCAGACGAGACTGGATGTGAAACAGGGAATGGGTTGGAGATGAACTTGAGCCTTCGTTCAGTATGTTTAAACTATACGTTCCAGCCTCCGATGCATCAGCGTGACCAGATGAAACTGAGAGCTACCCCGAGCTGAGGCACCCGGGCAGCGCGCACCTGCCCCACCTGGGGGTTCCCAGGCCCTGGCGCCGCCCCAAGGGCAGCGCACACCTGCCCCACCTGGGTGTTCCCAGGCCTTGGCGCCGCCCCGAGGGCAGCGCACACCTGCCCCACATGGTTCCCCCCACCCCCCCGGAGGCAGCGCACACTGCCCCACCTTGGGGTCCCAGGCCCTGGCGCCACCCCGGAGGGCAGCGCACACTTGCCCCACCGGGAGTTCCCAGGCCCTGCCGCCACCCGAGGGGCAGCGACCACATGCCCCACCTGGGGTTCCCAGGGCCCTGGCGCCACCCGCGAGCAGCGACACCCCCCTGCCCCACCTGGGGGTTCCCAGGCCCTGGGCGCCACCCACGAGAGGGCAGGCACACCTGCCCCCACATGGGGTGTTCCCAGGCCATGGCGCCACCCGAGGGCACGCGCGCACCTGCCCCACCTGGGGGTTCCCAGGCCCTGGCGCCGCCCCGGGGGCAGCGCGCACCTGCCCCACCTGGGGGTTCCCAGGCCCTGGCGCCACCCCGAGGGCAGCGCGCACCTGCCCCACCTGGGAGTTCCCAGGCCCTGGCGCCGCCCCGAGGGCAGCGCGCACCTGCCCCACCTGGGGGTTCCCAGGCCCTGGCGCCGCCCCGAGGGCAGCGGCTGTGCACTTGTTCGGTACCCGACACAGAGGCTTCTCAAGGTGCCTCGGGGGAGCAGCGGCCTGGGAACGGCCTGGTGAGCACAGGACACAGACAGAGGAAGGGCAGAAAGACTGCGTTTGGCGCCTGAATGTTTTTAGATACCAAATACGCTGCTTCCACCAACCGTAAAATTAAACCCAACAAGACCAGGTTCCATCAACAACAATCTCCACTCACATAAAGTCACGCCAGATGGGCTCAGGGGCATCCCTGCACCGGCTCCAGGACCGACGGCCGACAGACTGAGCCGTCCCAGGAGAACGGGCAGCACCTGTCACCGGCCAGCCAGCGGGAGGGGGACGAACGCTGAGCTCCCTCTGCCGCCTCACTCACTTGCGCATTCCCTGTCTTTCTAACCTTCCAACCACCTGTGGTCTAGAACATTCTTGCAGCTGCGAGATGTGCAGAAGCTCAGAGCCAAGGGTCAGCCACGGTGAACCTGTCCGAACTCCCCTCTAACCTCCGCCCGTTTCCGCCGCAGGGGAGTTCTCAACTCGGACGCCGGCCGGGTGTCCTCAGGCGTAAAGCAGGTGGCGCCGACCGGGTACTGGCCACGGAAGAAGGTGCTGAGCCCGCCAAACACGAAGCTGAGGCTGCAGCCGCTCCTCAGTCACCTACACGCACGCGGACCCGTCACCACGCGCATGAGGGACATCACTGCTGGTGACCTCGCTCCCTTTCTAAAGCCGCAGACTGAGGCCATAGACTCCCACTCCGGGACAGGGCCCGAGGAAGCAGGAAGCATCTTCAAAAACGACAAACTCTCAGCTACATTAACACGCGCGACAGAGCGGGTGGTCCGTGGCTTTCGGCCACCTCTAATTCTCGTGCCCTGTGTGTGCAGGGCAGCTAGCAAAGTGGCCCTTATGCCACCGACAGAACTGTCCACGGGCCTCGAGCCAGGAGCCGCAGGGCCACACCCGCCGGAGCGAGGACTCAGACCGCAGCCGCCCGCCGCGACCTGACAAGCGTCCCCGTGCTGCGGTCAGCCCTTCTCCTGGGGACAGATGGGAGTCGAGCTGTGTGCTTGCAGCGGAGTTTTCTGCAAACACTTACTTGACGGCGACGTGGGTGTCTTCCTGGGGGGCCGCCGCTCCACCCTGGGGTGCCCTGCGGGCGCGTCCAGGTGTCCACCGGGGCTCAGTGAGAACTGGAACTGGACTGTCCCCGACTCCACCTGCTTCACCTGCGAGTGAGCAAGAGCAACTGTTAGAGCCATTCTCCCAGGGACAGCTCGCCCGGCCCCACGAGTCCAGGAAGCCGTCTTCTGAGACATTACCAAGTAACTTCCTGAGCAGAAAACTATCAGCCGTGGCCTCAACATCCCGGAAGACCACATCGTCACAGGAAACCCTCACGGAAGTACAAATCACAGCACTTCTCCATTCCGGGTTCGAATGTGCACTTTAAACTAACCTACGCAAAACAGACGTTTTCAGCCCTGGCCGGTTTTCTCAGTGGTTAGAGCGCTGGCCCGCAGTCCAGTGGTTAGAGAGAGACCCGGGTTCGGTTCCCGCTAAGGGCATGCACCTCAGCTGCAGTTTGTCGCCGGCCCCGGTTGGGTCGTGCGGGTGGCAACCACTCGATGTTTCTTTCACGTTGATGTTTCTCTCTCTCTCTCTCTCTCCCTCCCACTCTATCTGAACAAAATATGGAAAAATGTCCTCAGGTGAGGATTAAAACAAACAAACAAAAAAAACAGACGTTTTCAGTTTGGGTGCAGAGTGACCCCCAGCACAAGCAGGGTGCAGAACAGCCCCGTCACCCCAGACAGTCCCGCATGCTGCCCCCTGGAGCCTGGTCCTTCCAACAACGTCATGTAACTGGAATGGATGGGACCTGCCTTCTGAGACGGGCTTCCTTCACACTATATACCAGGTCCCAGTGTATGTCGACCGTCCACGCCGTCCCACTGCCGCGTGGCTTCTGTTGTATGGGCACCACAGTCTATCTATCCGCTCACCCACTTAAGAACATCTGGGCTGGGCTGGCCAGTGTGGCTCAATGGTTAGAACGTCAGCCCAGGGACCAACGAGTCGTGGGTCCGATTTCAGCCAAGGGCATGTACCTCAGTTGCGGTTTGTCCCTGGCCTTGGTCAGGGTCGTGCAGGAAGCAACCAGTTGATGTGTCCCTCTCCCATCAATATTTCTCTCCCTCCCTCCCTCCCTCCCACTCCATCTGCAAATAAATAGAAAAATATCCTTGAGTGAGGATTAAAAAAACAAAAATAAAAACCGATGGAAAAAATACCCTCGGCCGAGGAGTAACAGCAACAACAAAGAGAACATCTGGGCTGTGAGCAGCCTGGCTGACAGTCAAGGGAGCACCACGAACCCCGGCGTGCAGGTCACTGTGGCCCGGAGCCCGCCTTGCGGAGGGAGGGCTTCTCTCGGACAGACTGCGGAGTCACGGCGCACGTGCAGACTCGGCTTCACGGGGACCTGCCGGCTGGGCTGGCCCTGCTCCCCTCTGCTCCGCCGACCTGCACGCCGTCCCCACACCCGCACCTCCCTCGGGGCTCCGCTGGGCCCTCCTAGCTGTGCGGCACGACTCCTCCAGCCGCGGTGTCCTTTCCGAAACTGTCTTCGCTCTTCTCGTTCCTTTGCTTCCGATACGCGTCTTACCATCAGCTTATCATGCCTACAAAACAATCCTGCTGGCTTTTCGACCGAAGCTGCATCATCCACTGGTCACCTCAGAGAGAATGGCTGTCTGTGTTATGCTGAGTCTGCCCATCCATGAAGATGCTGCGTCTCTCCGTTTGCTTAGGGCCTCTCTGAGGTCGCCGGAGTAACCGCAGCGAGGACGACGGCATGCAGCGGAGGGGACGTTTCCGTGTTCAGGGCACGAAGCCCGACATGTCTGGTTCGATTCCATTGCAGGGAGGCCTGTGTAATAACACCGGTTTTTAAATTCCGCTTTCCGACTTTCCACCGCCGGTACAGAGACAGATGGTCCGTTTCGTTCATATCTGACCTCTTGCATCCTGCAACCTCGACAAACGCACTTACTCATTTTAGGAGTTTTCTGTAGCCCCCTTGGGACGCTCTATGTAGACAATCATGTGGTCTGCAAACAAGAACAGCTCCGCCTCTCCTTCCCATCTGTCTGTCTTTCATTTGTCTTCTTGCCTGACTGCTCGGGAGGACCTCCAGAACGTGCTGGGTGAGAGTCGGGCTGCTCCGCGTGGACGTCCTGGGCCTGTCCTGATCTTCAGCTTTCCATCCACGCCACCGTGTGGTCTAAGGAAGGTTTGCGGATGCCCTGGGTCGGACCGAGGACATTCTCTCCCATCCCTGCTTTGCTCAGGTTTCTGTCGTAAACGGATGTTAACGTCTGTCAAGTGCTTTTCTGCATCAACGACTACGATCCTCTGGTTTGCCTTCTCTATGCTGTTACTATGGTGAATCACAGTTACTGGTTTTGTTCCGGGACAACCCCACTCGGCTGTGGTGTGACTCCCCTAGCTGGAGCCGTTTGCCAGCACCCTGTTAGTGTGCCCCTGTGGCGGGGGACACACACGCGTCCGTGGTTCTCGTTTCTGGTCCTGGCACAACACAGGCCTCGGGACGTGAACTGGGGATCGCTCCCCTCTGCCATTTTCTGGACGAGAGTACACAGAATTGGTATTATTTCTTCTTCAAATGTTCAGCAGAATTCATCGTGAATAGGCCTGGGTATTGCTTTTTCAATTTTTTTTTAAATTACGAATTCTATTTCCGTCACAGTTCCAGGACTGCTCGGGTTCTCTGCTTCCACGCGGGCCGTCTGCACGGTCTGTCGTTGAGGGCGAGCCGATCCGTTCCACCGTCCATGTTCTGGGCACAACTTGTTCAAAGCATGGGGCACCTCATATCCTTTCAACGCCTGTGTGGTGTGTAGTGACACCCCTTCTTTCCTGCCTCATCTTCGCCATCGGTGCCCCCTCTTTGTTCTTTTTCAGTCTTGCTAGAGGTTTATCAATTTTATTGATCTCTTCCAATGATCAGTTTCTGGTCTCCTTGGTTTTCTCCATTGTTTTTCCTCTACTGTTTTGTTTTGTTTTTTTTCCCTCATTAGACTTGTTTCTGCTTTTATCTTTATTATCAACTTCCTTCTGCTTGCTTTGTTTATTTTGTTCTTTTTCTAGTTCCTGAAGGTGGAAGGTGAGATTTAGGACTGAGACCCTTCTGTTCTAGTGTAAGCACTTGGCTACACACGTCCCTGCTGCACACCCAGGCTGTGTCCCACGTCACGTCCCTGCTGCACACCCAGGCTGTGTCCCACGTCACGTCCCTGCTGCACGCCCAGGCTGTGTCCCACGGCATGTCCCCGCTGCACACCCAGGCTGTGTCCCACGTCACGTCCCTGCTGCACGCCCAGGCTGTGTCCCACGTCACGTCCCCCTGCTGCACGCCCAGGCTGTGTCCACGTCACGTCCCTGCTGCACGCCCAGGCTGGTCCCACGTCACGTCCCTGCTGCACGCCCAGGCTGTGTCCCACGTCACGTCCTGCTGCCACGCCCAGGCTGTGTCCCACGTCACGTCCCTGCTGCACGCCCAGGCTGTGTCCCCAGTCCACGTCCTCTGCTGCACGCCCAGGCTGTGTCCCACGTCACGTCCCTGCTGCACGCCCAGGCGTGTCCCACGTCAAGTCCCTGCTTGCACGCCCAGGCTGTGTCCCACGTCACGTCCCTGCTGCACGCCCAGGCTGTGTCCCACGTCACGTCCCTGCTGCACGCCCAGGCTGTGTCCCACGTCACGTCCCTGCTGCACGCCCAGGCTGTGTCCCACGTCACGTCCCTGCTGCACGCCCAGGCTGTGTCCCACGTCATGTCCCTGCTGCACGCCCAGGCTGTGTCCCACGTCACGTCCCTGCTGCACACCAGGCTGTGTCCCACGTCACGTCCCTGCTGCACACCCAGGCTGTGTCCCACGTCACGTCCCTGCTGCACACCCAGGCTGTGTCCCACGTCACGTCCCTGCTGCACACCATGGCTGTGTCCCACGTGTCTCGACATGCTGTGTTTTCATTTTCGTTCCATTCAGACGAGCATCTACTTCTTCCTTGAGTTTCCCTCCTTCACTGCGGACTGTTCAGGAGTGTACTGTTAAATTTCCAAGTATCTGCAACTTTGGATGTCATCTTTGTTATTGATTTCTGCTTGGATTTCATTATGATCACAGAATGCACCCTGTATAATTTCTTTCTTTCAAAGTTGTGAAAGTCGCCTGGCCGGTGTGGCTCAGCGGAAGCATCGTCCCATGGACTGAGGTCGTGGTTCGATTCCCGGTCAGGGCACCTGGCCAGGGTGTGGGCTTTATCCCCAGTGGGGGGCGAGCAGGGGGCAGCCGGTCAATGTTTCTATCTCTCTCTCCCTTCCTCTCGCTCTAAAAATAAGTAAAAATATTTTAAAAAATAAAATAAAGTTGTGAAAGGTTGTTTTGTGCCCCAGGACGTGGTCTGTCTCAGCGAATGTTTCCCGTGCACTTGACAAGACTGTCCCTGCTGTGGGTGGGCAGATCCGGGGGGCTGAGGACGGCGTCCAGCTGCCCCAGGTCCTCGGGGATTTCCTGTCCACACGTCGTGCAGTTTCCCCAGGAGGAGGGGAGGCTGCGGACTGTCACTGAGTCTGCCTGTTCCTCCTTTCTGCTCCGGGGCTTCTGCTTTATGCATTTTGAAGCTCCGCCGACCTTAGCCGTACGCTCCCAGGGTTACGTGTCTTCTTGGTGAGCTGGCTCCTCTACCCCAGGTGACATCCCTCTGACTCCTGGAAACGTCCTCTGCTCCCAAGTGTCTTTGGTCCCCGCTGGTTCTCTCTGGCCAGCCTGTTTGCAGGTGACGTCTCCCGTCTCCTCCTTCTCCACCTGCGTCACTGTGTCTGAAGTGAGCTCCTGGCAGACAGCGTGTGCTTGGCCTTGACTTCCTATTCAACCTGACAATTTCGGTCTTTTTTTTTTTTTTTTATCCTCTCTCAAGGACATTTTTGCATTTATCTTCAGATAGAGCAGGAGGGAGAGAGGGGGAAAGAGAGAAAAAAACATCGATGTGAAAGACACATCGACTGGTTGCCACCCACACGACCCCAACCAGGGCCAGGGACAAACTGCAACCGAGGTACTGCCCTTAGCGAGAACTGAACCCGGGACTCTCTGGTCCGCAGGCTGACACTGTAACCGCTGAGCCAAACCATCCAGGGCCATAATTTCAGTCTTTAAACTGGTGTGTTTAGACTATTTATGTTTTATGTAATCACTGGTGTGTTTGGATTCAGGACAGCCACTTTATTATTATTTGTTCCTTCATTTTACATTCCCATTTTCCCTTTCCCGACTTCTTTTTATTTTTCCTTTTAATCTTCACCTGAGAATATGTTTATTGATTTTAGGGGTGGGGGAAGAGAGAGAGAAA